ATAATGGGAAAGTATGTGCATATTTGACTGCTTCTACTCTTGACAGGGTTACCTTTACAAAGTAAACCAGTAACATTATGGGAAACCAAATCTGATTTAATTGATCATTCAAGTTGGCTTATCAGTGTTCAGGTGCAAAGGAAACAAATGTGACTAGGAATTGAGATGAGAGTGTTCAAGTTTTTTTTTAAGGGTGATCCCAGGAATGGTAGCCATACTGTGATAGTAATGGAAAAGAGTACTCTGACCAGTGGATTACCTCTTCCATCTAGTTTTATTGTCCTACATGCAAGTACTCAAATAGTAGTACTTTAGGCTTGATATCCCAAAATAAAATATACTGTTAGTTGACATTTATTATGTGAGAACTCAAACAAATTTTTCCAAAGTATTTAACATCAGATCCCCTAAATCACTCTGAAGCTGGAAATTAATATAGAACTATACATATTTAAATATATGTAACAGTGAACTTTTAAGCATAGAAGAGCAAGGGTGATTCTCATTTGTAGCTGCTGGCACTGAAACAAAGAATGTGTTTTGATTTATGAAGGTTATAGCCATTTGTATACCTGTAGTTAAAGATGTACAAGTTTAATATGGTAAAAACCATGCTTATCACTGTCATCTTTAATTTAAACTTCTCGTAGTCATCTTTGTATGCCATCCTGAAAAAAAAAACACAAAAATTATTTGTTATCATATACTCAAAAAGAATTATCATGAAAAGTAAAATTGTATTGAAAACTATCCTTAGAGCTCAACATTATACTCATAGAAAAATAACTCACTTTGAATTGTAAAGTGAGACATTGATGTTTCCCAAGCATAACTTTAGGAATAACCTATGGAGAGGAAAAGGATGTCCAAGAATTAAGCAATGACATTCATTGTTAAAAATGAGAATATACAGATTACAGGCAATTTATAATAGGAGCCCAGTTAAGCTGTAGTTTAGTTGGCTGGGCTCCTGTTGAAAAGTTCTATATGGAAACCCTGATCAGGTTATTGTGAACTACTGTCTTGAAGCCAAACCCTTCCCCACCCCATCCTCACAGTATTTTTTTTTGGGGGGGGAGGGGGTGAGGGGAAGGTTTGGAGATGGAAGAGGGAGTGAGCACTTATTTGAGGCTGGGCATTGAGAAACATTTCCTACCAACAGGTTGGGCCTTATATGAAGTTGGTAATTATTAGCAGTTGGGAACTGAATAAAATTAATATGTTTAAAATATGTTTAATTAATAAGTTTACAGTTTTTCAGCCATCAATAAAATATGCTGAATCACTTTTCTTTTCCAATGATAAACCATCTGGCTGCCATAAATGATTGAATAAATAAAAATAATTACCCTGCTTGAGAAGGAAGGCTTAACTCAAAATCTTTTATTTTTCTTTCAAGGTCTGAGATTTTTGTCTGAAGTTTCACAAAATGAGCTTTTTGGTCACCAGAGAGGGGTCCATCTTTAAACCTACAAGCAATCAAAAAGGTAACGGTTATAAAGTATAGTTCTAATACCTTGCTCATATGTATTTTCCAGTTGTTGAAAATATTTATAATTTACATTGTGAAATATTTATTAAAACATGCATTCTGGAAAATGATCAATCTCCATTTGAGCTTAACTTAAATGAAACTATGAGTATCTCATAATCTTTAATAGAGTCATTTTTGGTTATAAAGAAAAGCACATTCAAGTGGAAGGAAGAATGTAAAATGAGTTATAAAGGTGCATCAATGATAAGGATTACATGGATCAACCCTTTATAACCTAGCATCAGCATGCTGAGTATGCATATTCTCCATACTGTTCTCTATACATTTCCTTAGGTGCTGATAAGGAGAATTTGTTTAACAATCAAGAGCTTATTTAGTTGGTGATTAGTTCTGTTACTCTCAGGACCTTAATGTGTGATTCAGAGGTGATATTGTTTGGAGAAATTAAATGCTTGTCACTCTAAGGAATCAAAGCGTTATCTTTAATCGCTATCAAAACAGAAAAGGCTTACCGCTGCAGAGACTCCTGAAAATCCCTCAGTTTCCGTTTTTGCTGATTAACGGCAGACGCACAGGATTTCTGACTCGAATGAAACTCGTCCAATTTCTGCTGATAGTCTTGGAACTTCGTTTGCTTAAGATCACCGAGAAAAATTGTTTTTGTTTTAAACGGACGTTTGAAACAAGGTAATGTTCTTCCTGGAAAAATTATGTTACATGCCTTGTCTTATTCGTTGTCATTTTCACTATGAAAAACAAATATTTTCAGATCGAACAAGCTATCAATTCATAGCTAAGATTTCTTTCGATTTATATTGGAATTACTAGCTGTTTTCTACGAAGGGTTATCGTTACTGTCGAGGAAATCATGCATTAAAAATGGAAAGAGGCTGAAATTTTAGTGATTTGGTGTTGAGTGAAAAGCTGGAAGATCGATAACCAAAATGTGATCAATCATTTATTATTGCATTAGGTTTCCTAGAGAAGTCTTTTTCGTGAGTAATCACTCGACATCGAAACTGATAAAAATTTCCAAGCATTAAGAGGCAAATTAAAATAATTAGTAAACACGGGTTTGCTCATGAAATAAAAAAAATCACTTATGCACGAGTTATTTCATTGATCATTAAGTGCTCTCGCGGGCGCCGCTATCATGGCATCACGCTAACCAAGATGTCAACTTAGATAAAAAAAAAAGAACATAGAATAAACCTTGAACGTTCGCGTCTCCTCTTCCAAGTGCTGCCATTCTTCTTCCCATTCTTGAAGACTTGAAATTTGTGCAATAGCCGCCATATTGACAAGACCCGAAGAAATACTACCTCGCCCCAGTCTTTTTCTTTTTACAAGTTGAAAAATGAAAAATCCAGTTGCACTGGTGCTTGCTGCTGGCGTCAATATTTCAAGAAGTACTTCAAAAGTAACAGTTTCTGTTATCTTTTTTAGTTATAACCCAAACAGTCAGTGTTTGTTAATAAGTTTGATATAAATCTTTCATATGATCTGGTTTCCTTCTGGAACGTGGACTGGACTCTGGACTTGACTCTGGACCAAGCAACTTTGTCACGAGCTCCTCAACCAGGACTTTGACCTTTGGTCTTCAACACTTCGATGAAGTTTTAATCCCGGAAATGAACCCTCTTTATCGCTACCGTACGCACTTGTTATTTTTGTTGTTACTTTTTCAGATTTTTTTATGTTTCCAAAGTTCTTTCTTGTGCCCTCCAAAAATTTTCATATTGCCATATAACATCTCGTCAAAGTTGTCACAAGTCAGAATTTTTCGTTTGAAGCATCAATTGTTGTTATTATCATTTCCCGAGAGGGATCTAAGTGCACAAAAGAAACTTTGTTTGCAACGGTATTGTAGGCACCTGGATTTATAATATCCCATTATAGGATTTTAACGATGTACGTTGACAACGCGAAGAAAATTTACGTTAAACAAAATAAACGCGAATTTTCCAAAAGTTAGGTTAACATAAATTGAATTAACGCCAAATTTGCGAAAAATTTTAAGAAGAAAGACTGAAGAAGTTAGCTATCCCCACGGGGAAGCGCATCGATACGAAGACCAGTTGAAAGAAAAATTGTTAAATAGTGCCTCGGAGACATTGACAGTTGGGCAAGGAGCAGATGAGGTTTTTTTTATCAGAATAAAAGTGCTGTAAAACGTTAATGGTGTAAAACAGTGTGATTTAAATTTACATAGACGTAAGTTAAGATGCATTCAATTAACGTGATTTTTTCAAAATGGCATGAATAAAGTGCATCGTTAATTTCCTATAATAAGGTAGTCTTTGTTCGTGCTTTTAATTTCGGTTTTTGCTTAGTTTAGTTTTCGCGTCCTTGTAGCTTTTGTTAATTAGTCTTATGTGATGTACTGTTGTTCCCCATTTTAGGTTTTAGTTTGTATTTTGTATGTTTTGGCTCGGTTAATCATTTTTCGTTAGATTAGGTTTACATTATTTCTGCGTTACATCCTCGGAGATCAAAGGGCTGTCAGTTGATTTCTTGTCAGCCCTGAGTGGGGCCGACAACACTAGACTTCGTCAGAGCAAAGGGTAACGCTCATAACGTCAGATTTAGAGACTCTCTTCGGTGGCTTATTTTTACTATTTCAACTCAACTGACAAAATCACATCATTTTGGAATACCCGGCCACCGATGAAGCACCACGGTTCTCTAGAAACTTACCCCTATATCAATTTCATTACAGTTGGAGAGAAGACTCCAGAAACGCACTCCAAAAAGCTTTTCAGCGTAATAATTACATACATGCCAGAAGTTCAGCACGGTCATTTGTAGATAGTGTATCAAACAATCCCAAAAAGTACGGCAAGTTGAAACTTTTAAGAGTAATTTAATTTTAACGAGTACCCACATCATTTTTTTGCGAGGTTTGGGTTGAAAAGTCTCCTGAAACGCTTTTTTTAAACTACAGATTGCATATAGGGTGCATCCAATGCTCTCTTTTCCCTTAAAAGCACAGGCTTTCTCATTTACTTCGAATGCACTCGCAACATATTCATTCGCCTGTAGTTACCGGCTGTGCGATCAACTAGTTCTTATTCTGCTCAAAATTATACGTCTGTTATTTCTTGAAAATGTTTTCAGTCAACAAAATCATTCAACAGTGGTGCCATTAAGTTGAAAGTCCTAAATCTGAAACTCTTTCAACTAAATAAAATCAAAATCTCAACTTTAAACTCTCGGAAGTGATTAACAGGTAAATTCTCCCCCTGAAAGCCATACATTATACAGAAAACAGGTAATGAAAATACTCAAACTCATCAGGTGGAAGTTGTTATCTAAATGTAAAACCAGATTCTCGTAACTTATTTTTAAGGAAATGTTTAACGGCTTGGGGGGAGAATTAACAATCAGATCTTGAGAGTTAAAGTGTTTGAAAACGACGCGTGCGACCGCGGTCTAACCGCGTTTGGTGGGCGTCCTGGTAAAGAGTTATTCTGTTTCCAGTGCCCTGACCGTTCTGAAAAAATTGGCGGCCTGATTGAGTTCTCCGAACGAGATATCGCGATGCATACAATTTGAAAGTACTTATTGCGTGAGAACGTGCTTTTACGTGAATTGATCTTTTATTTGACATGTTAGTTGGGTAAATCATGACCACCCCAGCACTTGGACCGAGTAAAAGACCAAGTTTAACTCAAGATCGAGAGAAACTCCAGAAAGACCAGGTAAAATCTCAACTCGAAAGAAAAATATATTGGTTTTTTATCGAAAGTAATTCCATTTGGGAGGCACGATAGTATAGTGAAATACTGATTTATAACTGAAAAAATCTCTTATGTTTCTTTAACCGTTTTACCAACCAAATTTTACTCGAAAAGTTTCGTTCGTAGCGATGTGAGGAAGTCATTCGTAAAATTAGCCTCGTACAAAAACAATGCAGAATGAATGATTTCCTCTTGAAAATTAATTTAAGTAAAATGACGGGCTTTAGATTGTAACGAGATATACATTCAGTGTAATTCAAGTGTTACACGTGGCTCTTTTATTTTTTTGAAAGCTAAATGTTCACAGCAGACTGAACAGTTAACAGAATTGACGCTCGCCATTGAGTTGAGACTTAAGTGGGAACGGTGACGTTTGTAAAAAGCTGTCAAGTTCCTATCGCATTTGTAAACATTTGTACAGTCATCGCCTTTTGATTGAGGGCATAAAGAAACATGTCGAACTCATTAAACATGAAAAACTGAAATAATCTGACGCTATTTATAACACGCAAAGAACCTTCACTACAAACATTTCCGAAGGAACTAGAGTTACCATAGTATGGGAAACTTCACCGAAAAAACCTACGCTCTTAGTTTGCAGATATTGCCCTTGACTCAGTTAAGCAGGAATCAATTTATTTGCAGATTTGGAGCTTTTCAATGAAGCTACATGTAGCTGGTGTCTTGCCAAAAACTCTGAGGGTCTTTTCACAGCTTTTACTTAATTTAACTGATGAGATGAGGTCAAATAGGAATTAGTATTTATTGTGACTCAAGTCACCTGATTAGGGGATAAATTTGTTAAATGAAAAGTGTTCCTGGATACCATGGTGATTGAGAGTGCAGGGTTGAGAGATAAATTTTTAGTCTAGAGTTTTGTGGCTTTTTAGAACTCTGGAACAAAAATTTATTTTCAAGATTAGCACTCTTAATCCCCACATTATCAATGAAAGCTTCTAATCCAATAATTAATTATTGTATTTTTTATGTTACCATGTTCTCACCAATAGCGTTGGTCCATTTTTCTTTATATAAATCACTATTAATCCATAATCCCTCTATTTCCTCTGATGTAGGACTAACACTTGAAACATCTGCGGTAAGAACTCTCTAGGGTGGCCAAATGATACTATCAACTCAGTTGCAATAAAACCAAAGTGTTCTATAAGTTTAGGTAGAAAGACTTACTGGTTGCAATTCTTATCACTTAGGGGTTATTAGTTTCCCAATCCTTAAGTTCTACAATAAATTTTTGTCACTTGTTTTGCCTATGCAGCAAGAAGCTATAGGAAAAGCTGTCAACAATGTTGAATCTGCAGTCAAAGAGAAACACATCAGAAATATCCTTTTAATGAACAATAATGAGGTTTAGATCAAAGGGGATTAACTGGATCAATAAATGCTTAATAAATACCTCTACTAACTGAGTTCAAGGTAGGTACTTTAAGTTATGAACCAAATTTTTTTCTGCTCAGATCTATGGCCTAAGTGCACTAGCTACAGTACTGTACATCTAGTCTATAAATTATCATGTTGTGAGATATAAATGAAAAAATTGGATTCAAGACAAACAGAATTTAAAGATAAAATGATTTTCATGTTCCTTCATTTTGAAAACTATGGACACCTGCAATAACTCACATACCACTCACCTAAACATGAAATCCCATCCACTAGTTTAATTTCTATCAATAGATAGGTTTTCCACTTTACTATCCACTGGATATTGATTGATCCATTGTTTAGCATTATCCACCTTATAAATACCTTGGACTGGGAAAGTGTTAAAACAAATTTCTTAACCTTGTTTAAGTGCAATTATTGGAACATGGCACGAGAAAGGAGCCTCTATTTTTTGGAACTCATTGGGAAGGATGCCCCTCCCATCCCAAGTTATAATGTGTTGGAAGGCAATGCTGGTGATACACAAACTGCTAAGAGAAGGACACCCAAATGTAGGTATTGTACAGCCTTGTGTACATGTTACAGGATGCCGATCCTAAAATAGATTGTGCATTTATTACTAAAACTGTCATGTTACAGAAAGTGCTGGTGTTCGTTGTGGTTTTATAGATAAATGAGCGTTAAATTGTTTGTCTCAGATTGTAGAATCAGGCCATCAAATGTATAGATAGCAACATTTTGACTTTGTTGCCTGAAGAAGACTAGCAGTATCGCCATCAAAACACAGTGAACAGTACACGATTGCTTAGCCTGACTCAATATTGTGAGAAAAATAATTAAACATTCATTTATCTTAAACTGTGATATTTTACAAGCCTAATTTAACATTGTTTGATAATTATACACTTGAGAGAGTGGTTAGTCAACAATCATGCATGTTTATGTGTTGATTTAAATGCTCAAAGAGAAATTCTGTATCTCCACCTTCCCTTATATTTATTTCCTTGCTTGAAAGATTTAAAGATAGTTATAATTTTAATTATGTATTCATTTTTTGCAAACAGGCTTTGAAGGAATCCCTTAAATACAAGCAGATGCTGAAGGACATGAGAGATTTTTGGGTACTTTTGCTAACAATTTTCATGACACCTTATCTATATTTAATTTTGCTATAATGAAAATCTTTTAAAAACTTAGTCAACCACAAAATGATCAAAGTTTTTTGGTTACAACTTGAGTCTTTTTTATAACTGTGGCTCATCTATAATGATCAGATTCAGTTCACCCTAAACTCTTTGAAGCATAATTTGGGATCTATGAAATGTTTCAGGGCTAGTAGTCACAGTTAACCAACTGAGTCTCAAATTTTGATGGATCTACTGTGATTTGAAAATTTTTAACTTAGAATTATTTTAAGAATATTTAAAAATTATGCTTTTTGACTTCAACTGTCTCAACAACAGTGCTTAAATTACACATGAGGTATAAAAGGTGCTAAAAAGATAACAATGGGACAAAAAAGAAATGTTTACCTTTTCACTCTCAAGAGTGACCAAGACAGAATTTCTCCTTACAATATCAACACAATATCAAGCAGACAAGTGATGAGAATTAAGAAAAATATCAGTTAGGGGATTATTAGTTGATCCAATACCAACTCTCCAAACTAACATGGTTATAAGAATTGAAGGGCAGAGAGTAAGGAGAATTACTAATAAGATCTTGGGGGTAGGGTTATTTAAAGATAAACAAGTGTGACTTGATACTCTTTAAAATTAAGAGAAAATGTCTTCATGAATTTCTTACACAGAAACATTCAACAAAGGGTGGATATGGCTGGTTAATTCACAGTTACCTTTCAATCTTGATAGCAAAACTGGAGTTCCATCAGAAGGTTGAATCTTATATTAATTTTAATTTTAAATATTGTATTAGTGTCACATGGAGTTAAAAAACAGGTTTTTCAGTTGTCTGTGACAAGGAGATTTGTTTTTTAAGTCCTGTTTGTACATTAGAAGTGTGAAAGTGTGGTTGTATGTCTTTTAGTTTGGCTGAGTGGTTAAAATGCTGGACTTGTAATTCTCTGGATTTGTTCTCAGTTGTCATGAGTTCAACTCCTTGGCTGCACTTTGTATGTGGCAAACTGGTCTGCCTCCTGCCATTTTGGATTTTTTAACATTATGTTTATTTACAATGTTTGTTTCCAATTTGATTGTATTGGTACTGTAAAGCCCCATTGGGGTAGTGTAAATTTAATTTTTTGAATTTATATGCATTATACATAGATGCATACTTTTCAGTCACCCCCAGTGTCTGAAAGAGCATGAAATTTTGAGTGATGCTCTCAACCAAATCTTGAGAGCAAATTAAACTTTCAAATGTTTTTGGTAGTTTGATCGTAGGGTTGCCTTGTAACACAGTGGCACTTGACAGTTCATTATAAATTATTATCATGTGATTGCATTTTTGTAGAATGAAGCTGTCCCTGGTACACTTCGAAATAGTGATGGTGGACCACTTGTCTACACTGGGACAGATGTAAATGCCTAGTAAGTGCATAGTTATAGTGGATTTTTCATGAAAGATTTTGTTGAACAATTTTCAATCATGAAATAGGCATTTGTGGAGTGGCTGGTACCCCTGACTCTTGGTTAAGTGGCTTAGGTTTGAGTCCTGTAAGGGTTCTTTGTGTTGTGTTCCTAGGTAAGATACCTTCAGGTTTTGTATGGGTCCTGGAAAATCTGGAAAGTCCTGGAAATCTACTTTACTCAAACAAGCAATGAAGTTTTTAGAGTTTACATTATGAGAAATGTATGTAGACCTTAAGGAGAACTGACTTTGAAGTCTTGGGAATGAAAGGGCATAAGGTAAAATTTGGAGTCCTGGAAAAAACAATCTTGAGTCCTGGAAAAATCCTTTGAAATTTTTTCTGAAAAAGGGTACAAACCTTGTACTCTACCTTGATCAAAAGCGTAACTCATTCTACTCAGCAGTATGAAGGGATACTTGTAAACTGTTTGGAAAATTAATGTTGGGCAGGGGAGGAAGTAGAGGAGGAGGAGAAGGAAGGAGTTAACCAATGATTGAGATAGACCCCAGCCAGAGAAGTGGTACTCTGAGTCCTCTCATTGTATGCAAATTTGAATGAGGTCTGTTGTTCTGCTGGCCACAAAGATGCAGAACATATTTATCTGTACTATCCAAATCAGAAATGATCATCTATTTTGTAGAGTAACTGTGGAAATTTAGATAATTCTTTCCTGTTTACTTTTACTTTTAGTTTTGAGTTGTCAATAGACATTTTTGATTATATGGACACATTAGTGGATCTTGAGAAAAAAAGTAAGTCATCTTATTTTTAATGGCATTGTCATACATGTAAATGAATTCTTCATTTTCTAGAGGTCTTCTTGCAATATAACACATTTTGTAATTCATCATTATTTACTAACAGCAGGGATGTAGATAAAGTTTTTAACAGGCAGGAATCTTGCAATGATAGACGGGTATTTGGGCCAAAGGCCCACTCTAGCATGCCTTTGGCATGCTATATCTAGATTTGAAGGTGTAAACAAATGAAATAAATAAATAACAATCTTCTGACAACATTTAAAAACATTTTGGAGAAAGAAGTAGTGCTTCACAGCCGGAAAAATTGTGTTCACAGCCGGGCAATTTTACCGGCTTTTATCTACATCCCTGAATAGGTAAAGTAGGTAAACTGACATATACAGTGAGTTGTAATTCTATTTAGTATCATTTAGTGCTCACCTGATTAAGTGGTTTGAGTAACAAAAGAAGCAAACACAAACAGAAAAAAAGTTTCCCTGATTGTAAGCTGTAATGTAAGGAGTTTCTCAAGCTGACATTTCAAGCATTAGCTCTTCATGCTTTGCTCTGATGAAGGGTAAATGATTGAAACATCAGCTTTAAAAACTTTCCAAGGTGGCCAATTTACATTTAATTAACCCTTTAACTCCTAGGAGTGATTAACATGTAACTTCTCCCTATAACATCCATTCCTTATCCAGCAAAGAGATAAGGAGAAATGTCAAACTTATCAGGTACAGGTTGTTGTCTTGATCTAACATCAAATTTTCATAACTAAGTTTCAGGGAAATGTGTAGCAGCTAGAGGGGAGAATTAACAATCAGATCTTGGGAGTTAAAGAGTTAAGTCAGTCAAGATAGAACCAAATTATCTTGTGATCCCCCTATTGATTCAGCAACACAGTTTCTTCAGAAACTTACCCTCTTTATCTTTATGATAATACTGTGTAACGAAGAGCTCAACCAACATTACAGAAACTGCTTCTTTAAGAAAGCACAGTCCTCTTGTTATATATGGCCATCTGATTTGTTGTCTTTCCTTTATTGATGTTGTTGTCTCTAATTTTCAGTCTTAAGCACTCTTGATCCATTCCGTGCTAATTCTCAACTCCAGGCTGTGCAGTGTAGGATTTGTCCATTCCCTGTTGTCATTCAGGTAAGTAATAATACAGACTGGAAATGGCTGGAACCCAAGAGTAAGAGTTGATGGTGTAGTCTAATTTTTCGTTCAGTGATTGACTTTGCTTAAGAGATTATTTGATGGTATTGTCCCATTTTTCAATTGTCAGGAGTGTGGTGGCCTTTATGACATTGTGGTGGATTTAATGTATAAACTACATGCAAGTAAGCTGTGTCAATTTATCTCTGATCTGTTGTTCTTTTCCCAGTTTAGTACCACTATAGATTTGATTAATTATCTGCGACATATTTATGTTATAAGGATTTATTTTTACTCATGTTTGGCCAGAAGATTACACTACCTTGTGTGCAATAAAATTCTTGGCTTAGGATATTCACTATACTCTGTACTCAGGTTATTCACTGATATTGTTGTGAGACTTAACCCTTTGGCTCCAAAGAGTGACTAGCATCTAATTTCTCCTTACAATATCACCCCCAAATCACACATTAATATATTGAGAATAAAGGAAATGGTCATCAAGTAAAGAAGCTCTGGATTATGAAACAAATTCTCCTCATCAGCACCTTAGGGAATATATGGGGAACAGTATGGAGAATATGCAAACTGATGTTAGGGTGGAAAGGGTTAATACCTATCAGTGATGGGTAAATGGGGTGAAATGTACAAGGAGAAAACTTTCATTGCTTAGAGTTTCAAACTGATCAAGCTTTAAGGTGTGAAGTTGGTTTGAAGTTCCAAGTGTGATTATCCTTGAATTATAAAATACAAACTTCCATCATGAAAAGTTGTGTCAATAACTGAGTGCAAGAAACTCACAATTACTAAGAACATGAGGTGCTGGTATTTAGTGTGTGATAATTTGTTTTTCTTATTTTGATAATTGTTACTTTTAGGCTTACCAGCAGACACTCTGACTGGCCACAGAGAGAGGTTTTACTCTCACTTTGCTGAGTAGGTGTTCTATGTCATATTCTATTCTATAATATTATGTACTACACGTATAATTTCTTTTCTACTATTGTCCAACCCTTTAACTCCCAGAAGTGATTATCATGTAACTTCTCCCTATGATATTCATACATTATCCCACAAATGGGTAATGAGAATACTCAAACTTATCAGGTAGAAGTTGTTACCTTGACTTAACACCAAATTCTTATAACTAATTTACCGGGGTATATTTAGCAGCTAGAGGGGAGAATTGAAAATCAGTTCTGGGAGGTAAAGGGTTAAAATAATTTTTTTTTCATTTTCCAACCAGTTTCTTACTTATAACTTTTTTAACCATATTTAATAGTTCCTGGGAAAGTTACTGATGTGCATATTAATTTGCCAGTTTTATTAGGTTAATTGCAATGTTTGTACAATTATTTTTGTCTAACTTGTAGATTGAAGAAATTCTTCTTTGATGCTGGAAACATGGCTTATGTAAAAGCTTTGGTTCCTATTCCAGTGCTACCTCAGGTTCGATAAGTATTTTCTTTTATGTTGTTTGTCCTGTAGGAAGCAACTGTCACTTTGAATAATCAGTAGAAATTTCCAAGCCTATGTTCTTTGTCAGAGTTAAGGCTTGGTATGTAAGCAAACTCATTAGGATATTATTAAATGACAGCAAAATTTAAGATCATAACTTTTCAAACATTACTGACATTAATCCTCTCATTCCACTCACCCCACCCCCCTTCTGCAAGCTAAATTTTGATTCTCTCCCCTGTCTCTCGTATTTCTCGTGAGGTGAACTCTGAGAATATTTTTTTTATTTTTATTACAATTTACTCTATTGTATTTACTCTTTTGTCCTTTAACCCTTTCACTCTCAAGATCTCTTCAGTAATTCTCTTTTATTACTGTCTGCCATACAATTTTCATGATGTTAGTTCAGAGAATTTGGTACTCTATCAACTAATAGTCCCCTAAGTTATATTTTTCTCTATTCTTGTCACTTGTCTGGATTGATATTTTACAGAGAAATCCTGTCTTGATTGCTTATGGGGTTAAAGGCCTAATAGGGTTGAAACATGCTGATGTTTTAAGGATGCAATCCTTTTTGGTCACCTCTTGGAGTAAAAGGGTTCACAGAATTTGCTCTGAACTTTGTTTCATTCCACAGAATCCTCCCTCTTTCACATTATCTGATCCCAAGCCAACTTTGGTGAGATCCACTAGTGAGGAAGTGCCAAGGCGTAAGTCAACTCCAGCTGAAGATTTCAAGCGCCAGAGCCTAATGGAGCCACTTAATATACCTGTTACAATGGAGCCATTACTTCAGACAACTCCTCAGGTAAACAAGTGTTCAGTCTGCATTCACTCTTATAGGAAGATTTTAACCATTTTACTCCTAAGATCTGATTGTTTATTCTCCCCTCTAGCTGCTACATTTCCTTGTAAAGTAGTTAAGTTTAACTAGATAAGTTAGATAAGTTTAAGTATTCTCATTACCTGTTTGCTGGATAGCAGTAATGTATGGATATTATTGGGAGAAGTTGAACGTTGATCATGCAAGTGCTTCATAGGCTCAGTAAAGGAGCACACTCACTGTTTCAGATCTTTTGACTTTATATCTGTGCCTATTTTGTGTAAAAATAAGCACTTATTCATTGAGCAAGGAATGGAGCTTTATAGCCAATCTAGTTGAATTTTACCTCTTAATATTTACAGAGTAAAATATCTATTTTCATTCACTGTCATATACTCATGTCTTCTTTGTTTCATGACATACCAGTTGATAATGTTAAAAACTGTTGTAATTCTTTTGCTGAAAATAGTGTGCTCATGCAATTGCTGATCAAGAAATCTTTTCATTGACCATATTATGAAGAGCATAATTTTTTCTTGTAGACTCCAGAAGCTAATATGTTAGGAATTGATGCTTCAAATGGCCCTGCAACTGACAACAGGTTTGTTTCTACTTTTAAAATCTCATTCAACTATGTGTTTTACAATTAGAAGGTTTGTACTGAGTCAAAAATTTGCAGGGAAATTTGGGAAATTTACTACCATGATCTCTTTTGAAGTCTGGGTTTTATTCTTCCTTTTCTTTATGTCATTATCTTACTCTGAAATGAATAGAGTGATAAAAATCGACCTGTGTTGAAAACTTATAAAGGAAAGAAAAACTTTGAAAAGATCACATGCATTATGGTTACTTTATATTAACAGTACAACTTGGGTCTATTTGATAAATCTGTGTGCCTTACAATTTTATTTATAACCCCAGTCTTCAAAATTAAAAATAATGGTTTAGGAAAAGAGGGGAAGAATTGGACAGTTTCAACAATGCTAACAAATTGATGTTATTTTGGTGTAAGACAATGATTTGTAATGCCTTTTACTTTCTAGGGACCTGATAATCAATCAGTTGCGACAAGAGATTGCACAACTAAAGCTGGCATTAGAGCGTCAACAGAAAGATGTAAGTATTTCTGAAGTACTCCGTGACCAGGCACTTCAGGTTTCTTCATAATAATGGTCGAAAATGAAACTTTTGATGTGTGCTTTTGTCTCTTTGGCTGGTTGAAGGTGAATAGTACTTGCTAATCATTTCTGAACTCGCCAATTAGCTTAAGTATGTAAAAAGCACTATTCACTTCAGTCTGTGGTTGTTGTTGCTCTGAATGGGATCAGCTTAGGCAAAGCAGAAAGTGTTGGATGCAAAAAGAAAGTTCATTACACTTGGTTCAGAATAATGGTGCAGGGTTGATTTCTCCTAGAGCCAAAGATACTCATCTGGGTTGAGGCAAGATCTCTCTTCCTACTTAGGAAGCAGATTATCTGACTCATTGTGATCCTTGTAGTGATCAGTTTGGATCTTGCAATCCCATCATTGTTAGTACTTTATGGATTTGCTAATCAATCAGGCTTGGGATTGCACCAGACTGAGTTTGGTTTTAATCTAAAACTCTGACATCCCAGCAAAAAACCTGAGCAAATGTATTATTTCTCCACATTCATGCAGCTGTTTTGAGAAAGGTTGTTGGAAAAAAGTGCAAAAGTGCACACGACAGCCTCCTACGGTTCATATTGTAGGTAGCTTTCAGGTTGTGTTTCCTTGACCTCAGGATTTCAGGGAAATCTGCAAAATGCCACAGACAGTAAGGGCAAATCATAGTGAGTTTGATGAATTTACTCAATTATTTGACTATTTAAACTCATTGATTACCACATATGGAGATTACCTTTTGAGATAGTACATGCACTTTAAATTTTTTGCTTTTTTTTCAACAATCTTTCTCAAAACAGCTGTACGTCACTAGCACAAAAGTGCAGTTTAGACTGCTATGGTATGATGTACCATCCCTGGTCTTGCACCACATGGTCTGCATTTTGGAGAGGAGTCTAGCTTGATGCTCACCCTGCACTGTTTTCCTGTCATTCCTGATTATCATTATCATGATAATTAATCTTTTTGTGCTTTGCTTGTCTCTAGGCAAAAGCACTTGAAGATTCTCTTCGCTCCCAGATTGCAAGGGTAAAGGACAAAAAAATAAAGTTATTTTATGTTGCATTTGAAAAAAAATTAATTTCAAATGATTGATTTGATTAACAGCATTAAATATTGCATAACATTGATTTTGAATTTTTGTGTTTAGCTTACTGAAGAACTAAATGAGTACAAGACAATTGCAGAGAAAGCTTGTGAGGTACTTAAAATAGGTGGTTTATTTTCATTCTTTTGTTGTAAGTGTTGGCATTTTTCTGGCGGTTGGGATAATCTTGAGACATCATTTCCTTTATAGGAGAATGTTTCGTTAAAGAAAGACCTAGAAAGCAAAGAGGATGACAAGAAAGGTGAGGTGGTTACTGACTCTGAGGGAGCAATGCATTGTTGTGGATAAATTAAGTTTGCATTTTCTGATGCTTTTACAGAGAAATAATTTCAATTTTTTACTTGAATATTAATGGATAATTCCAAATTGCAAACTGTTTTTCAATCCATTGCAGATCAGAAAGGTCCAGCAGAAGAGAAATATACCAAACTCAAAGGAATTTACAGTAAACTGAGAGAGGAACACATCCAGCTCTTGCGAACTGTATGTTGATGGAGATTAAAAAAAAAAGGCTGAGTCCCCCAAAAGAACCAAACACCTACAAAATTTGATTTACTGGTGTACCACTTACATGTAACTACAGAGAACTTGTCAATGAGTCAGGCCATACACTATGTTTGGACATATGAAGCACTCTTCATACTGCAATGATCAGCATTGTGGAAAGTATTGCATGTAAACTAGATGGCAAAATTTCAAGTTCTTGGGTTTGATTGATTGTCGGGGGCTCAGTGTTTTTCTTAATGCCATACACATGACAAAAGGAATATCATTCCATCTCTAACAACCCAGCTAAAAAGAGTACCATAATTTTTAATATAGTTGCGTAGAAAGTATCTCTACACCACTTATCCTGGTGGTATGTAGGGTGGTTGTCACAGATGGACCTACCCTGTAGTAAGGATAGTAAGTTTCTAAAGAAACTGTAGTGCTGCGTCAGTGGGAGAGTGTAACAGGGTAATTTAGTTTTAACAAATGAGTTGATAATGTAAATTAGCCACCTTGAAGAGTTACAAAGCTGATGTTGCAAGTGTAAGCCCTTCGTCAATCACTCTGATGAAGGGCTAACACTTGAAATGTCAGCTTTGTAACTCTTTAAGGTGGCCAATTTATGTCATCAACTCAGTTGATAAAACTAAATTACCCTGCCATGCTGTAGTTCATGGCTAAGCTCATTAATGAGTCCTCCATCACTCAACTGTGGGGCATCAGGCTGAGGAATCTGGGTGTCTTGGGAATCATTTTCATGAGGGGATCTTGAATTTTTTCTTTCATCTCATGTTCAGGACAAAGCAAATGACCTCTTTCTTTATTCAGTGAAAAAAACTTTTTTCAGTTTTGAAAATGGAACATTCTCACAAGTAATGACGAGGAACTTGTGCAACAAACATTAAGTGTAACCTTCTAACCCCTAAGAGTGTTTGGCTTCTAATTTCTCCTTACATTATCACCTTGAATCAAATATAAAAGGTCATGAGAATAAAGGAAATGATCACCAATTCCAGAAGCTCCTGATTAACAGCCAAATTCTCCTTGTCAGTACCATAGGAAATGTAAAGAGAGGCTGGGGAGAATACGAGTACCAATAAGAGAGTGTGAAGAGTTATTAAACAAAAGTTATCTTAACAGTGATGCAGTCACTTTAGAGAGAACCCTAAATGGGTGTACATTATTCCGAATCTAAGAACTGCATTTTACTTGTGCAAAATGTATCATCCAATTTAATGGGCTTTAATGTTGTCTTAAATTCACCCTGCAACAGATATGTGAGTCATTTTCTAAAAACACGTACCCACTGTCTTAACGTTGGTCACAATGGTTGATTGTGTGAAGACTGTTATTACTTTGTCTTTCCACCAGAACGCTGAAGTGAAGCAAAAATTGAATGCTTCAGAAAAGGACAAAGAGGTATTAAAGAAAATTATGTGATAGGCTGAATTATGCATGTGGGTTTGATTGGTTCTTACCGATGATCTATGGGAAGTCATACGCATAGATGACGTCACCACGCAGTAAAAACATTTTGCTTTTTATCTTTTTAAACAAAGAGATTCCATGTTGCCGTGGGTTTGTCCAGAAATAGACAGAGACACACTCGGCTGAGCCTCGTGTGCTACTTTATTGTTCCTATCACGTTTTGACTTCATCTGTGATCTGTTGTGGAACAGAAAATGAATCTATTTGTTCATTTGATGTATCAAAATTTCCAGTAACGACCTATATTGCATACATGATGAATTAATCACAATGTTCAAGCTTTTCCCTCCAAGGTATTTCACTGTTACTTGGTGGTTTATTTGTTGATTTACTTTTTACCCTTCTTGTTGTCAGGAATTAAGTCAAGTAAACGAAAAACTTCAACTGGAAGTAGATGATAAGGTACAATTATCCTTTGAACATAAACAGTGATAATTAAAATTCATGAGCGAGTCGTAATACTGCGCTTCTGAAAGATCGCTTCCCATTATGTTAACCTAGTGGTTAAATTGTAAGGCGAGATGAAGGAGTGATAGTTTGAGGCGTGACCTGATTGATTTGTGTTCGGGGACGAAGCACTTATGTCTCATAGTTCCTGATTATCAAAGAACGTGATTAACCCTTAGATCCTAAAGAATGACAAGCATTTAATTTCTCCTCACAATATCACCCCTGAATCAATCATTGAGGTCACAAGAGTCAGTAAAGGAAATGATTATTAGCTAAAGAAACTCTTAATTGTTGGACAAATTCAAATTCTCCTAGTGAAGACCTTAGGTATTGCATGTAGAACGATATGGAGAATATGCATACTGATGTTAGAATATAAAGGGTTAAGTGTCGGGCGGTTTCCACTGTGATATGACAAATTTCTGGTTGGGAGAAGAGGACGGAAATGGAGGGGATTGGGGGCGGGGGTTGAACTCCTGGGCTTCTTCGCGATGTAGGTGAGCTGACACAAGTAAAGTTGCCGATATTCGTAAGAAATGTACCAAGCCGTTCCCTGTGTTTGCTGTCGTTATCTCATGAATGTGTACGTTCTTTGTACAGTCCACAGAACTTTTACAAGTGTTTCAGAAAGCGGAAATGGCTGAGCAGGATGGGAAGGTAACTGAAACATACTGAATTGACAGTTTTAGAAAAACTTAGCAAGTCTGCACGTAGCTGGTGACCTGTATAACTTTCTAGAGTGCGACCAAAGATACCTGCCTACTTTTTAAGGCGTTGGCAAGATTATCCAGTTAGCGTTGGGAGGGAACATCATCACTGGCGCCTTACTTACATTTTTGTTTGCGGGATTGGATAGGCTAGGTTGTTTTTTAACTAAATAAATTGACACGTTTTTGTGACGAAGAGAGGGGTTTACATGCATCATGCGACTCTTTTGAGGCACGCCCTTTTACAGTGTGGTAAAATGGTAATTTCACAAACTTTCTTCAGACACATCACCAGTTTGTAGTCAAGCAAAGTGGCCCACCCATCCAGGGGGAGTTCATCCCGATTTCTGAAGCGACTCGGAGTATCACTACTCTCCCCTGGATGGGATGTCAGACTTCCCTGACTGATGGCCGGTGCCCATTTATACCCCTGGTTGGAGAGAAGCCCTGTGAGAGTAGAGTTTTTTTTTGCCCTGGAACTTTCGCAGAATTTCTCACTTCGTTAGAAGGAAGCTCTGCACATGCTGGTTCTACAGACTTAGACTGTATACTTTCGGTTAACTTGACTTTATTCTTCACAATCCAACATTACACGTTCTGTTTTTCGACCTAACTCAATCCCATCTTTTTTGAGTTACAAAAATGCTATGTTTTATTAGCTACGGATACACACACCTAGATACGTAAGTCCGGAGTGGTAAGATAATTTAAGCTAACTTGACAAAGTTCCAGTTTTGTTTTACACATTCTTCAATGATTCGTGGCCACTAATTTCCTGTTACATCGGCTTGCTCGACAATCATAGTGTTAATCTAAGCATGCGGTTTTACTAGCGACTATTTGATTATATACATAATTGTTTAATTTGTGAAGGCTCGATCATACGATGCCGGTTAATACTTCCTTTGACATTCCACAAAGCAATGTTAGCGACAAGAAATAATAGTTTACTTAATCAACTACTAAATATACCGAAACAGGAAAACCTTCTTATGAGCACGTGCAAACTTTTCACGACAAGAACACAACACAACAGGCTTTCTTTTATGGAAGAGGAAGAATTAGTAGAGGTAATAACATTATTTCGAGTGCAATTTGGTGTTAATAAGCACAAGTAAATTTTTCAAAGACGACAAAATTGCACGAGCCCTTAGGGCAAGTGCAATTTGCAGTCTTTGAAAATTTTACAAGTGCTTATTACACCAAATTACAAGAGAAATTATGTTATTACTTGTTAATAATGTACATGGAAAAACATCACAGGAAGTCAAGACAGACGAAATTTTGAGAGCTTGCGCGCGCAATTTGTAATTTGCACACGTGTTACAACTTTGCACTCATGTTACGTGAGAACGCACCCGTTTTCAGCCAATCAGAAGCGCGTAATTTTTTCTTATACTATATTATTAAAGTAACACTTTGCATCTGTTTTCAGAGAGCGGGTGATGAGATGGCAAGACTGACGAAAGAGCACGATGAAAAGGTACAATAATAGAACTAGGATGCTGTGTCGTGCTGTCCTTCTCTTGATTTTACAAATCACTTCACACAGTGAGTTGTTAAAAATACTTGCGTTTAGACAAATCAAATGCAAAGTGAGAACCGATCGAGAATAGCTTACTCTCGTTTTCTCGATCAGGTTCTCGATCAGGTTTCTAGGTTTTCCTCTGGGTTTTTATTGACTTTGCGGTGTTTCCTTTGTTCTGATTCCTTTGACTTGTCGCTAAAACTGAAAAAAACCCAGAAAAACCCCTTAACTCCCAAGATCCATTTAATTATTCTCCCGACTGATTGCCATACGTTTCCATATAAATAAGATAACAGAATTCATTTTAAATCAACGAAACACCCGCTAGTTGACAAGCTTCTTTGTTCCTCTAACCTGTTTGTAAGATAATGTATTAGAATTGCGATGAGAAGTTACAACTTGATCACTTCTGGGAGTTAAGGGGTTAAGAGCAGAACTGTGGATGATTGTGACAATATATTTAAGCTCAATTAGCTTATTTTCTCTCTTTGAAGATGGCCACACTAATGGCCGAGCTCCAGGCGTTAAGAAAAGAAAAAGGAGAAACAGAAGAAGCGAAGAAAATTGCTGATGAACAAATAGAAGCCATGAAAAAAGATCACGAGGAAAAGGTATTTTACCATTTAATTAATCATCTTTCTCTTTTGCTAAGCGAAAGGTGAGAGATGGTATCGCTGACTCCCGCAATTGCTGTCACCTGATAGAGCAATTTTAAATGGGGTGTTAGAATGAATCCGGGATTGCATCGGTTTTGCCTCACTTCATTCCGTCATTGGACCAGAAAACTCGTGCCACTTTCTCGACCAATCAGGTGCAAAGCTAAAACCAAATACAATTTGGTCGCCTGCGTTTTCCCGCGCTTTAGGCAGTTTGTTTTTTTCCCTTCGAGTTCTGTAGTCCTGAATGCTCAAATGGCTTGAGTAGCGGAGCATTTTGCCCGTGTGTCGCCTATACCCTCTCATCAATCCAGATGCCAAAATTTAACCTCTCTCGACGTATTCACTCACGTTTCCTCGCTTGAAGATGTTTACATATATTAATTATGAGTTCATTGACTCCTTGTGATATATGACGCTGTTATGACTGGCTGTTGTAATTGCCTAGGTTTTGATTTCACGAGAATCAGTTGTAATGAACCCTATCCTGCCTTTTTCGTCCCCTAGATTGGAACACTTAGTAGCGATTTATCAAGTTTTCGGAAGAGTTGGACAGATGAAGAGCTGGCAAAGAAAACTGCTGAGGAAACGATTCAAAGAGAAAGACAGGAGCATAAAGACAAGGTCGGTATATCCAAACCCCTTATGCTTTGTGATTCATTGAGAAACTTAAGCGACAGATCAAAAAAAAAAAATCGTAACCAAGCAATCAAGTTATCTTTGTCATATTCGCCCACACGAAGGGCTAACGCTCGGAACGTCAGCGTTAGTAACTCTCTACTGCAGTGGCCAATTTACATTGATCATCAACTCAGTTGATACAACCAAATCGTCTTTGTCACCCAATTTCCCCTGTTATGTGTATGCCGCGCGCAAACATTTTCTTAGAATTCTTACCATTTGCGTTCCTCTTCAGAGTTCCCTTTGAAGCGGCTTTAAATGCCTGTACAAGTATTTCATTGATGTACTAACTTGCGATCAGGTGTTTTTCAGTTTTTCGGGGAAGCACTATAGTGTATCAGCGCAAAATTTGGCGGGCGCCATCCCGACCTTGTGCTGCTATACTATTGCGCTCCCCCGAAAAAAGAACGGCCGATGACAGTTTGATTAATCAACGAGCGGTTAATTTTATCAAACCGCGAAGGAAATTTGGCATGCAGCAAATTCTGATACCTAAATGTAATGGAGAAAGGAAGGTTTTATCCCTGCTTCATAAAGACCGGTGTTGCAAGAAGAATATGAATTAGCGACGGTCGAAACCGAAGTAAATTTCTTCGTTATGCTCTGTTTTGCTTTTATGGAATCAGAGGCAACTTTATCCACTTCTTATTGTGAACGAAATTTAATTCCCACGGTGGTACCCGTACAGTTAGCCTGGTGTAGGCGTTCAGTTCGTAAAAATAATAAGCAACGCGATCGTAGCGGAGGAGTTACAAAAGAGGGAAGTTTGGGTCGAGTCGTGCAAGGAACGACTGACTTAAACCGCCCTGGTTTTTCGCGCAGCTGCTACTATCGCTCTGTTTAGTATTTCGCACGGATTTTGCACCGGTTGTCAATGATTCGTCCAACGCCTGCAACAGGCTTTGGTACAATTTGCGTGGTGGACAGAACAGAGTCAAGTTAGGGAAATTATCGAAACCCGTTTGTGTCTTTCGCTTATGCGCATGGCTGTTAGCGTAAGGCATGAAATGAGGCAGTCGCACCATTTTAATACTGCAAAGAACTGTGTTTTTTTTTTGTCTTTCCTTTTGAAGATTTCGATTCTTGCGGAAGAGATAGAGGCTTTGAAGAAAGAAAAAGGTGAAACAGATGAGGCCAGAAGAATCGCCGAAGAACAAATAGAAGCAATGATAAAAGATAACGAGGAAAAGGTTATTTCCCCTTCAGTGTTTACCTTTGGTTTGTCACAAAGTTATGTTTTCCAAACACTGAATATTGGTTCGTGATTTTGTAGGTTACAACGCTTAGCCGAGAGCTTTCAGATGTTCAAAAGAGTAGGACTGTTGAGGAGGAGGCGAAACGAACAGCCGAGGAAACTATAGAGAAAGAAAGAAAGGGACATGAAAAAATGGTCAGTTTGATTCCCACAATTGAGTGTCGAACGTAATCTTGTATTGTATTAGTTTTGTTTTAGAGTAATTTTCGATTGAGTGTCGAAAGAAATTTAGGATTGCATTGGTTTTACTTAAATTTTGATTTGTGATTGGTCCAGAAAACTCACGTCACTCTCTCAACCAATCAGATGCAAAACCATTCGCGACTTGGTTGCCCGCGTTTTCCCGCGCTTCAGGCAGAGTGGTTGTTTTTAGGTGGAGTAGTTCCCATTGGCTCCTACGGTATTTTCCCTCTTTCTGATTGGCTGTTGTAATTACTTTGGTTTTAGTTTTACGACACTCAATCTAAAGGCGATTGATTCAACCTAACAGATGCAACGCTAAATCAATCATACCCCTTGACCATTTGTGTTTTCCCATGCTATAAGTATATGTTAGTTCATAGTTTGAGTCTTCGCTGGCTCCAATTGATGTTTCCCTCTGTTTTGATCGACCGTTACACTTGGCACTGTTGTGACCGAGTTAGACTTACGTGACATTAGCTGATGACTTTTCTTTCCACAGGTAAATGAGCTTGAAAGAAAAAGACTCGAAGATATCTCTAAAGAAAAGTACGACTTAGTAGGTGAGAAAAACCAGGACTGTCTTAATTGGAAAAGGAATCTTGTATTGTAAGGGCGTGCATGTTATAATGAGTTTCAGACCATTCGGAACACTATCAAATATTTCTTTACCGAGCTAACTGTAAATTCCATCTCAGCTCTCTTAAGTCCTCTAAGCTCTCTATGTTGTCTGTCTCCTCTTTAAAACCAATTTTCTCCTTCTAGACAAAACGGAATTCTTTTTTCACCTAATTTTAGAAGTTCTCGCTTTACCTTTCTCATGTAACCTGCATTGGCGAATTTAGACCCGAAGAAAACAGAGGGCTGGAAGGGAGCAGGAGTGAGGGAGGGGGGGGGGAGGGGGCGCCTTTTGCGGTTTTATCAGTTTCAGGCAGGAGTCGTGTCTGTTTACTGTTCTTCAACTGAGACCCTTTTGAGTAAGTTAGTCAGAGTACACTGATATTAACTGTAAATAAGGATAACTAAATATAAATCCCAGATCCTTTGATCTCAGACCTGTTTCATAATAGTCTTCTTGAATTTTATTAGGTACGGCGATAGAGTCAGCAGAAAGAACAATCCAAGATGCTTTAGATCAGTTTCAAAATCCGAAGCACAGTTCTACGACTTGTACTGCAGGTATGAGCACCTTCTGGTGAAATTAGTTTGGAGGGCAGTTACAAATGAGACTTCAAGTCAGTGTCCTTGTTTTGATATTTCCATCGCCATCATCGTCGGTTCATTGATTTGCCATTGCTTAGTTATATTTATGTTTGTATATATTTACTTTAACTTAGATATTTATATATTTAACTAATTATGTTTTGAATGGTTTGTTTGTTGGTTGATTGATGGATTGACTCACTGATATTGTGACTAATGTAAAACCAGCGGTTTCCTGACTTATATTTCACTAATGATATCTGCCGTTGTTTTCTGTGTTCTTTTCAGATTACTTGCTTAGTAGAATCGAGAGCCTTCCAGGAGTTGTTGACGAGCTTAATTCGAAGTTTGCATCTTATAAAAAAGATCACAAAGGTTAGAGACCATGGATGAACCAAACCAAAAATCAGGAACAAAATAGGCTCGTTAAATTTCTTCTCAGAATGTTTAAATCATTCGGATCAGTGTCTAACCCTCCCCTGACCCAACAGTCAACTGATAACAAGGGTTAATGTTGGGTTAGGGGAGGGGTAGGTAGATACTAGCATTGATCCAATCATTCCAAGAGAGAAAGGAACGATGATTGTATGATCTTTTCTTGAAGAGTTTCTCTCTTTTTGCAGATGCCATTCCCTGTATATGCTGTCTTGGTTCGTTCTCACATCAGCTCAGTGATTGTATCTTAAATGCCAAGGCTACCTCTCACATGGCACCTACTCAAGAAGCTGAAGGTGGGAACTTAAGGAGACTTCGCAATTTTTGGCATCAGTGGGACTATTAAAATCAACAGTCGTGCTTATAAAACTGGGGTGATAGCCCGTCAATCGGCCGACGATTAACTGCATAACTCGGTAATTTAGTATTATGAAGTGAGTTGATAACGTAAATTGGCCACCGTAAAGAGTTTCAAAGCTGAAGTTTAGAGGGAAGGGCTGACGCTCGAAACATCAGCTTCTAAACTCTTTACGGTGGCCAATTTACGTTGTCAACTCAGTTGATAATACTAACTTACCCTGTTATACTCTCCCACCGACGCAGCACAACAGTTTCTTTAGAAACTTACCCCCTTTATTCGATTAACTGCATAGTTAGTCGTAACACGAGGACTGCCCTCTAACTAAATACATGAAGCCAAGAACAGTTATCTCAAAGAGAAGTCACCCAGGCTAGCCGTAAATTATAGTTAATTGCTGTTGTTTCTTTTAGATCTTCGGTCACTCGGTGAATCTGCTGGTAAAGCTTCTCTCGAACTGTTGCAACTCTACAAACAAAGTGATCCGGGTGAGCGTCTTAGTTATAGTCCATGCTACCCTTTCATGGCCTTTGTTTTGTTATCAAGAAGTTACCTCCTTTTTGATCTAAGGCTTGCCTAGTATGGTCTCCTACAGCTCAATACATGTGTCGCAAATTATTCAGGACAGTTTGGTTTTTCCTTTCTACGCCTTCTAATTGATCAAAAAAACTCACGCCGCACCCTAAACCAATTAGATCATAAAGAAAAAAGCGTCTACGACCCTGTCACTCGCCTTTTTTTTACGTTCAAGGCAGTTTGCCGTGTTAATTACACTGAGTTGGTTTGTCATTCGCTACTTTTGTTACTTTCCTATTTTTCTGATCGTCCATTTGATAACTTTGTTTTGAAATTCAATCAAAAAGCGATTTGAGCCGCAGTATTCTGGCCAGCTACGAGTTGGAACGTGCGAGAATAGAAGATGAAGGCAGTTTTTTGATGAATTTTATCGTCATTGCAGATCCAAACGCTCTGGCCGACAAGCTGAATGCCGTAAAAAAATACATCTCAGATATTACCAAAGTTGCTGAGGTAAGTTCATCAGAGGATAATGGAATGCGGTCATCAATTGTGTATGTGTGTTTTTTTTAAGTCAACTTAATTTTTTTAGGAGCCAGACATCAAAACATTGAACCCAAAACCCTTTTCATGCCGAATTGCTGTCCTGAGGTAACTTTTTACAGGAAACCAACGGTTCAATTTAAATCTGTTACCCAACTGACAGGCTCAACCGATTGTGTCAACAGGCTCTCGCGCCCAAAGAAAAAGACGGTGTTGATAGTATAGGTGGAGAAGTAGACGATGAAATCAATGCTACTGCAGAAGTAAGATAACCTCGTTTTGTTTGTTTCTGACTTTGTTTTTAATTTCTTTATCTTCGTCTCCTCCCCCCCTCCCTAAGGGCTTAGGAAAGGGGGGGGGGCTACCCCTAGGATGCCGGAGACTTCCCATCTTGATCAAGTTAATTATAGAGTTGTTCTGTTTGTTTTTCACTTTGTTTTTATCAACATTATCCCACCGGTTATGTGAGCATTTTCTTCAATCAGGGCCCTTGATAAGAAGCGTTTCAAAATTAAGATTTAACTGTGGTCGATCTTACTGATTAATTCCGTTGGTACCTGGCATAGTAAAGTTTTAAAGTAGTAGTCGCGAATAACAGTTAGTGAATGGAATACTTGTATTAAAGGAATCAAATATTTGACCTCGTTATTGTGTTTTGTTTAGCTTGTCGCAGATTCAGCGGCCAGGATTCAGGTGACAATTCCCGTTCTTTCTCAGTCATGTTTATCGTACCGATGATTAACTTCTTTACACTTTGGTTAGAAATAATAATGCACACCACACCACGCACTACACGCGCACGTGCACATACGCATACGCACTCGCTCAGGCACATACACATAGACATGCTTACGCACTGGCACACGCACGCATGTGCACGCACACGCACATTCCTGTTGGTCGTTCGCTTGGATATATAATCAAAAGTATTTGATTCGAACTTGCTACTGGATCCTTGGATCTCTTGAGGTTCTCGACTCCTTGTTTTCACTCATGTCCAGTTTAAAACAACTCTTTCTTTGAGAGACTTTACAGAATACAGTGTAACTTCACTTCAAACTTTTATGTTTGCTCATACATTTTTTTAAAACTTGTCTGGGCTGACTCATCATTTTTACGATCTCAGGAAATGATCAATCAAACAAGGGAGAAATACAGTGGTGTACAACTTGAAGTGAACGGAAGGTGAGAAAGCTACTTACTTAGACATTGTTTTCTTCGTTTTGGCTTTTTTTTACATTTTTCCCCTTGTCGGCGGAATGTGTCAGGTTTTTAAAATGCAAGAAGGCGATAAGACCTTGAAATCCGTAGCATTGGTCATTCTGATTTACCCTGTCTTTGCTTATACACAGAATTTTAGATTCCTGCACGGCACTGATGGAGGTAAGTTTGCCTTGAGGGAGAGAGAGAGAGAGAGAGTTAGAATTCACAATTGGCTTAGATTCCTATTGCATTCGAATTCGAAACGCAGAGTGAGAATCGGAAGAGGGAAGCTCCGGTAAGGCAAGTCTACCCTCAATTTGTCTGAGGGGAGGTGGGTGGGGGGAGGGGAAGGAAGGTAGAATAAACTGGCCATTGCAATCTCTTAGTGCGAGAAACCGTGAGATAGGAAACGTCGAAAAAGCCTATCTGTTTGCTTAAAGTCGAACTCAGACCCGCAATGTAGATGTAACGACTTTTTTTCGTTCTTGTTTGCTTTGAGAAATCAAATCCCTAAGGAGCTTTCTTACAAAAACAAAATAAATATAATATATATATGAAATTAGAGTACAAGAACTGTTAAAAATTGTGCATCTCCTTTACCTCATAGGAAAGTAGTGAACACATTCTTTCAGACGAAGGAATGTCATTGAAATTGTCTATCTCTATATAAACTGTTTTTTAATTGAGACATTGATAGTAATATACTTTTGCTTGTAACTAATGAGCCAAATTTGTGTGCGCTTCTTTTAAGGCAATCAAGAAATTGATAATGAAGTCTAAAGTATTGCAAAAGGAGATTGTCGACGAGGGCAAGGTATTTAATAAAATGAAATTTAAATAATTTGTTCGGTTTCAAGTAGTGTTTTTTGAGATATTTCAAGTCAAGTCATATTATGCCCCATTCACACCAAAGCTTAAACATGTTTAAAAGTTGTTTTGTTAAACACAGTTTAATTTTTTTTTTCTTCATAGAAACTATTTAGCCGAATATTTTTGACTTGAATGTAGCACATTGGAAATGCAAGTTAGCAAGTACTTGAATCCAATGGAAAATCAAGTTTTTCAGTTCTCTGTCTATAATTTTCATTCAATGAAAACCAGTTTAACAAAACATGTTTTGCTGGTGTGAATGGGGTATTAGTTTACGGTTTGACAACATTAAATCTACCACTATATGATGAATATTTAACGCACTATAATAATAAAACAGTTGTGAATATAAAAAAAATACATTTCGATACGCCGACACAAGCTTCGAATGAATTCCCTTTTGTAGAATACGTAGTATATCTGATTTAGCCTTTAAGCATATCTTTGATTCAAAGACCGCTTGCCGTAGGGCAGTTTTCGTGTATACTTTAAATACTTAAATAGCCTGATCAAAGACACTTGCTTTTCAGGGTCAAGCAACAGCTAAAGAGTTTTACAAGCGTCACCACCGCTGGACGGAGGGGCTTATCTCCGCCGCGAAAGCTGTTGGTTGGGGAGCCAAAGTGCTTGTGTAAGTAACCCTTTACCCCCTAACATCAGTATGCATACTCTCCATACTCTTCTGCATACATTTACAAAGAGGCTGACTAAGAGAATATGTGTAACAGTCAAGAGTTGATCATCCACAATATTCTCATAACTTTCGTGTTTGTTTCAGGGGTGATATAGTAAGGAGAAATTAGATGCTAGTGACTCTTAGGGGCTAAAGGGTTGAATTCCAAGCTAAAGGGAGCGGGCTGTATTACCGAATATAGTTAGTTATTACGGGTGTATTGGTTTGGAACAAGTCTACTAGCACCTTTAAAATTTTTTGGAAAGACCGCTGGTCTGGATTGTATCGATTGGTGCGCAAGTCTTGTTAACTTACGATGTTCGACCAGATGTTATGCTGAGATCCGAGTTGGTGATTTTATGCTCTAAATTCAAACATTCACTTGTTCATGGTGTCGCCTTGTTATTTGTGATAACCTTAACAGTCTTGTAAATTACTTTTTGAGGAAGCCAACTCACGAGAAATGATGATATATCATGGTGAAATGCAACAAGGTTTTCCATTTTAAAATTAATTTCCTAACTCTTTTTTATGTATAGTATAATTCCAGGGTTTTCAATAGCAAAACCATCGTAGTACATGAGCAACTGTAGCGTGGCTTACCCTTTTTTTGTTTCCACAGTGACTCCGCTGACAAAGTTGTTCAGGGGGGAGGCAAGTTTGAGGAAATAGTTGTAGCATCCAATGAAATTACAGCAAGTACAGTGCAGCTGGTGAGCGATTGATATTATTTTCTTTTTTGGTATTATTTATATTATTTCTTTTTGGACACTTCATACCTCAGAGGGAAACATTCAGCATAAAGTCTGCTTCATATTACTATGTAAAAAGTAGCGAACGGTATATGCTCCTGACAATATCAGGTCAATATCAAGCAGACAAGTGACGAGAGTAAAAAAAAATATCAATAAGGGGATTATGAGTTGATCCAACAACAGATTTTCCAAAATAATATCATAAGAACTGTATGGCAGACAGTAAGGAAAATTACTAATGAGATCTTGGGAGTTAAAGGTTTAAGCATTGTCACAAAGTGATCACAAGTTCACCAAGCAACTTTCAAGACTGCAGATGACCATCCATGCTTTAAAACGCCCCCCCTCCCCTGCCTCTGTTTCAGGAATAAACAATTAATGATAAATAATTTTTCATTTGATGTTCAGGTGGCTGCTTCGAGAGTAAAGGCTCGACAAGCCAGTACAGGTTTAGCTGCTCTGCAAGGGGCCTCCAAAAATGGTATGTTGATTATGTTAACGCACACTGGAACAAGGATTGCCTCCGGCACCTTTATCGAGAGGGTGTCACCTTTCGCATGGATAGGCCAATCTGGCATCATACTTCCATGAATATCATAGGAACATTTTACAAAAATTATGTTACTCTTGTGTTAGGAAATAAAGCTGTCTTCATGTTGGCAAAAATTAAAGTTCCTACGACACGAAACTTTTTTGCGTATTTATTTAGCTTATCACACGTAAAAACCAATTCCGATGGAAGAAAAATTTCAAAAATATTAAAACTCGTTTTTTTTTTGGGCCCTAAAGTGCCCTTATTTTGTCTTAAAGGTGTCCCGCAGACTGGTAACGAGTTAGCGGGTGATGACGTAGAAAACTGTGAAAAGTCTCATTTGACTCTGACAAATCTTTCACGTGTCTTGTAATTTTGTAGTAGTCAGCGTTGAAATACTCTTGAAATAATTGTTGTGTCATAGAACTTTTAAATCGAATTCTCTTGCGTCAGTTGTTATGTCTTTTTAGTCTTTTTTGTATTATTACTCAGAGGCTTTGTCTAAAACTGTTGTTTTATATGTTTCAGTGGTTGAGTCAGCGGCTGGTGTGGTGGCATCTGCTAAAACAGGAGCTGAAATGATAGAAGACAGTAGTAAGCATATAGAAATCTTGTAACAGATTACATTTCCTTTAAACGTAGATTTTAATCCCAGATTTTTCTGGTTTTTCCTCTCTGCGTTCTGCTGCACCCAGCCTGTGAGTGTGCCTGCGAGTAGGCTTTCATTGACGCGTGCGCATGGCCTGCGCCTCACCCTCCAAGCCAATCAGATCGTGACTTGTTACTCTTGTTTTGCCGCACGTCAGACGGTAGCTTGGTTCTATTTGAGTTCTCCTAAGCTCCTCGTTATATTTTCATTTTTTTTTCCTGATTGCTTCTTTTAATTCCATTGGTTTTGGTTTTGCGACGCTCCACAAAGTAGACTTTACGCATACCGCTAGTGGTCATCCGTGAATTAGAGTCTAGATATTAACAATACAAATTGGCGATGAGCACTACTGTGTTAGGAACACCCAGTCATCAAGCCATGAATTGTTTTGAAGCTGATTTTTTTGCGATCATTTACCCTGTAACAGCCATGAGTGACCAAGACAGAAATTCTCCTCACAACATTAATACAATATCAAGCAGACGAGTGATGAGAATAAAGGAAAATATCAATAAGGGGATTATTAGTCAATCCAATACCAAATTCTCCTAACGAATAGGATAAGAATTGTATAACAGACAGTAAAGAGAATTACTAATGTGATCCAGGAGTTGAATTTAGAGCTAATAGACAAAAATCAATCAGTTGGTAAAAGGGGGAAAGATTCTAACCCAGAGCGTAGGGGTTAACCCTTTACACCCTAACATCAGTATGCATATTCTCCATACTGCTCTCTATAATTTCCTGAAGCGCTGACAAGAAGAATTTATTTAAAAATCAAGAGCTTTATAAGTTCGTGATCATTTCCTTGATTCGCGTGACCTTAATGTTGAATTTAGGGGTGTTATTGTAAGGAGAAATAAGAGGCAGGTCACTCTTGGGGGTTAAATGGTTAAAAGTGTAGTATGATATTTCTAAACCATTCCTACTCCCCTACTTGTCAGTAACACACAACCAGTAAAAAAGTTTTATATGTTAATTCCATTTTCTTGATTTATTTGCGTAGAAGCCGTACCAGATTACACCAAGCTAAGTCTCACCCAGGCTAAGAGATTTGAAATGGAGTCACAGGTATCTACATCCGTCAAGAGAATGTAGTAATAATGATATAATCTCTTGCATCCATCTGTTTTGAGTTAATCATTATTGTTATATGCAAATCCCGTGTTTTTCAAGAGCTACGGAACGGCCCGTTTATGTTTAAAAGCCTAGGCTGTATCTCTCTAGTACGCCATGAGCAATCTGTTTTAATCTCTCTCATCTCAGCCATCTTTATTTATGATTTTTGCCTGTTCCTAGTTCGGTCAGTAAAACGAAGTGTGAAATTAAACAACACGATAGCAGCGGAAGAATGAAAAAACGAGGGAGGCTTGGGTCGAGTTGCGTAATGTAGGAGACTCGAACCAAGCCTCTCTCTGTCGCAACCATTGCGCCGTTTACCATTCTGTTTTACTAACTAAATCCTAGAACAAGATATCATGTTTTGTTCATTCCTTCCTTGTTGGTGTCTGTTTTGCTGCCAATTTATTATCTTAAGGATACACATCTGATGGGACAATTCTCAAGTAACTTGTCAGAATAACCCAGCATTAACTTCGCTATGTGATTGGTCCATACAACTAGCTCCACCCTTTCAACCAATCACGTTTAAAATACAAACTAATCGCGACTCACTACATAATTGGCATTTGCCTGTATTTTCTTTGATCTCTTATTTGCACTTCGTGATATTTTCCTTTTGTTCTGATTCGCTGTCGTGACCAGTTTGGTTTTGAGTTAGCAATCCTTATTCCAAAACTCTCCCCAAAGTGTTGCACGTGTGGCAAACTCCATTTACCCACCTTATGAAAAATTGGAACGAGCTGACCACCTTTCAAACTGTGGACAACATTGGGAAAAGAGGCCTTGAATCTCTTTACCAGTTCGGTTTTAACATTCCACAGTAACATCAGCTCGAACAAAAGCGGTAGTATTGAATGCATTACCCCCTTCCCTCGCCCCCCTGCGCTCATTTGAAGCTAAAAGACGCCACAGAAACTGTTAACAGAGGCAGGTACTATTTAATCTTCCAGGGCGGATTTTCGTTCTTTTATCCTTGTTTTAAGTCAGATGATGACTTCCGCTCAGGTTTTCGCAACGTCAGTCACCATTACCGACAACAGTCTTTCTCATGACTACACTCACCCCGACGATCAGACTACACTATCACTAGAGCTTTGTGTTTTTACTTCATAAATTTGCTTCTCTTCTAGGTTCGGGTTCTAGAGCTTGAAAGCCAGCTGACTAAAGAACGTCAAAAACTAGGAGAACTGAGGAAAGCACATTATCAACTGGCTGCTGTCGAGGAGGGCCTGGACCCCGAGTAATAAGGTAAGAACGTCCAATTCTGCATGTTCATCATATAACACGCGCAGTGTGTATAATCTCACTAACATCTAATTATTTTACTCCAGGACGAAGCAAGGTCGTCTGCAAGAGGGATCCAGTCATCTCGAATCATAGGCACCATGCGAAAGAAGAGAAAAAGTGGAATAAAAACAAGCAAGTTAAAATGAAATAAGCTTGGCACTTGAATTGGGAATGAACCTTTGTCTACTTGCACTTCATCCTTCGCTGGCAAATGGTGTACGGCGTAACCTTTGATTGGTCACGCAATCTTTGGAAAGATTGCGTGACAAATGCTAACTGGATTGACTCTTGCTGACGTTGGTGTTTTAGGAGGTTTTATTTATACAGTGGGGGGTATATCTAAAGTGAATATAGCTTCGCGTAAGATGCTGATGACAAGATATTTTTTAAACTCAGTCATATTGTGATTATAAGTGTAAGTTTTAAAAGAAGCATATCTACCTCAGATCATGCTAATATACTGACTCAATAGCACAATGAATCGCAAGTATCGAATAAAAAGGCATTTTTCCTGTATTTCTAGTATCGCTAGCGAAATTCTGTCAGTAGCTCGACTTTATTTTCACCTCTGTACTTCGGTCATATATAGTTCTTTCTCAAATGCATTTAACTTAGATAAATTTTTCACACTTAGAAGTCCCAGCCAGAGATCATGATCTCTTGGTCTCTGCTAATACGTTACCATCATGCGTCAGAAAATTCTGTTAAACCCCTACTTTTTAGACACTTTTTAGCAAATTTGCGTTCGTTCTGGTGATCAAGATTATGAAAATAACAGTTTAAACTGAAAACGCAAGGAAATAATATACAAAATGTTCACAATATAACAATTAAAGTGTTGACTGTCTATGCATAAAAAAGGAGTCGTTAATTCTGCTGTTGTAAATCTGGGGTGAAAGCGTTGAGAATTGACGGGAATGAGGATTAGAAGGCCAACAGTACCTTGGGGGCCATCTCTAAAATTTTGCCCATCTCGAGCCGTTCCCTTCCAAAGTAGTCGCACCTCGTGGTTGCTATTTTTAATTTGAGCCTTTTTTTAACTTGAACCTTGCTTTTTTTTTTCAACTTGAACCTTGGTATTTTTTTTTTTTTAATATTTGTGGCCGACACAAAAAAATTGATCCTGTTTACCTAGGCGCTTTTGGTCACTTTACTCATGCAATGATTATCTTTGTAACATTACACAGCGCAAAACTAGTTGCCATTACTGCCCGATCATACTGCAGTTTGTCGCCGCGATCAACATTGGAGTTTACGACTCTGCTCAAAGCTGCATGTAGTTTTCCAGCAATTTCTAATTATGTGAAGTTCAACGACGCCCACAGCTCCTACAGAAGAAACTATGTTCTAGAAAAAACTGAAGGACGAGGAGAGCTTTTTAAACTTTTTTGTGACGATTATCGGATGTCCTGGAATGTTCAGCGAACACCTCATGCCATCGAGAGGAGTCAAACCTTGGCTCGAATTACTTATGCAAATTGCTGGCTGCATATTGAATGTACAGCCAGCCAATTTGCATAATTATTTTTTCTAACTGTGTTGCAGACTTTTATGAATTGTGTTAGTCAGATACAGATAATTATTTCTGAGAAACGGCAATAGAGTCGAAGTAGAACGCCACTAGAAATATTAAACAAGTAACGGAAATGTTTTCTCCCAACGAAAATTCTGGATATACGCTGTAATAAGAGCAAAAAAAAAAAAAAAAAAAAACACTTCCTCCAACTTAACCCTAAGCCAAGGCACGCAATACTAAGTAAATAAGTAAAATCTTTATCAACACACAATGGGGATTAAAGCTTAATAGCTCGTGGGGTAGTGTGCGCCTGCCTAAGTGCTAGAAGTAAACGTTTTTTGTTTGTTACGTCCTAAATCAAGGTGATATACTGCTCTGAAATTGCGTGGAGTACACGCAGGTTCGTGAAATTTCAATTTCGGAGAGAAACTCTCGCGGGATCTCGCGCTCTCGGCGGAAGGTCAAAAATTCGTCTAGTGAACTCTTGCCTAATTTTATTTCTCCCCGGAAAGCACCGAAACCATTTTTTTTTTCATTTGTAGATCTAAGTATGGAATAGGCAAGAATGGAAAGGAGGGGCGTACCGTTTATCTCGCTTTTAGACAGCCATAATGTGCAGCTCATGTAAAGCGCAGAATGTGCTTACGGATTCCTCAGACGGAGGAGGGTGTGGCTCACAGAAAGCTTTGTGGAGGGTGGGAACCAACCTTCTCGAAGTTTCCTTTTCCTACCCGCAGGGTGCACGAGCCTGATGACTTGCACGCGATAAATGCATCAAGTAAAGATAGGTCGGTGATTTTTATTTATCAAACTATAGTATAGAATTCCGCATTTATCTACATCGCCGATAGTCTTCCCCTCTGAAACATAGCATCCTAATCAACTATCCGGTGGTGGCGAGGAGGGGGGAGGGGTAGGGAAGACTAAAATGAAGAAGCTGGGAAGGGAAGGAAATCGAGGGCCCTCTTCGTTGTTTCTCTCTGTCTCACCAGAAAAGCACGTTGATCAAATGAGAATACAACTCTAAATGGGCTTCATTTTGGAAATCCCTCCGGTCACAGACTCCAGTGAGACAATCGGCGAAATAACGAACAATATATACATAAGGTCATGGCAAGCTGTTTCCTTAATTTTAACTCAGTATCGAATTATGTCTGCTGATATTGTGCGTTTTTGCGGTAACGGAATGTCAGCAATGATTAGAACACATCCTTCGTCGCAACGTTGTCTGGACTTCGGAATGAAGACATATCTGATGATATTATATGTCTGGTCGTAAATTAGATCCTCAAAAAGACTGTCAAAAGTAAGAATATTTGATTTTCCGCGTCAGCAACAATTCGACAATGGATATGTTAATTGTCATTTCTGTTTTTAACCCAGAGACCCCAGAATAGTTTTATGCATTTGTTTACAAAGTTTCTACAAATAATGCGCATATTTTCAAGTTGTCACGCGATGGAATTGTAACTTGATCAAAGAGATTCAAGGCAGCAAATTTCGAGCTTTGTAATCCCGGAAATAGTCACAGTTAGGTGCAGTTCAAACTCGACGACATGGCGGTCTTTCGCATCTAAAATATCTTAGGAAAGCGGACATTCCTGTGAACTTTGATGAGTTCAAGTTTTTTCAGCAAAGGACTTCGACTTCACATGAGAGTCGGTCTTCCTATATTAAATGTTTAGTCTTTCCTTTAGTACTCGTCACTGTTTACTTAGTATCCGCCTCATTACGCACGCAACACGCAACTTTTTAACATAATTACAATAAAAATACACCTATTATTTCGAAAATATAATGATATAACAGAAGACAGGAACCATGCATTAAAAAATTTCCTTTGCATGACCGAGCCTAATTCTTGGCAAGGCTTTGAACCTGTGGCCGAAGATCGGTTCAAATCCGTCGTTACCTCTTTCAGAGAAGAAAGATCTGCTTAAGATTATATTTCACTCGTTCTTGACCCATTGAAGGCGCGACATAGGTGCGCTACAGGCAGTCCGATTTTTCTCGTGCAGGTTGGTCGCCAAGCGTGAAGTTTAAATATTCAATGTGATCGCTCAGTGGATCAAATTTACACTCGTTCTCATATCACCCATGTTTTTATTAAAGTGAATCTGTCCGAGTCCGGAATAGGGGCCGCTAAATGCAAAATCAACAGCTAAAGATTAAGTAATAAAATTGACGAGACAACCTCAAACGCGAAGGAGGGATTACGCGCCAAAAAAGAAAGTGTGTCACGCGTTTTGCGTTTGGCTCCTAATCACTTGCTTTCATACTCGCCCGGCCAATCACGATACAAACCGGCACAAAAGCAACTTTAATGAATATTCAAAGAAAGGAAAACATGGTGGCTCGTCTGTGAAGAGGCAAATTGTGCGATCTCTTCAGAATTTTAATTTAGTACCTTGGAGTTGCTTTGTTTAATCCGTTGGATCGGTACGGCAAGGTAGAGTAGAGCGCCCTGCGAGAACATACCTGTTGTTATGCTTTTGAGTGTCAGCAATGACTAACGTAAGTTCTCATAATAATTCTATTTGCATGTGGAAATTTCTGGTCTACGGATGTGATGCCAAACCCAAGATTCGACCGTGGAGCAGAACTGACTCTTTTTGGCTGAGAAGAAGATGAACTTGTTGTCACAAGATACTGCGAATTATTATGTCTAGACCAACTACTCCCATTCACGGCAGACCAAGGTCTCGTTCTGGGACTCGAAGCCCATCGAACGTTGCCGACAGAGCCGTGTGTAAAATTGCTGGTAAGCGCGCTCTTTTGCATAATTTCATCATTATTTTAAGAAGTTGGTTACGTTGGATCATATACTTGTTTACTTTGCGTTGACGTGCAGAGATCTCGAGAAGTAGAGTTTCATTTAGAACTGATTGACCTTGTGCTTGGCTAACTGTCTGCTTGTTATGTTTTGTGGAAATTTCTCTCCTGTTCAACAATGGGAAAGCTAAATTGGTATATTACCATGTCTTCAATTCACGATCGAAGCAGCGCTAAAGTACCTGTTTCGAATTAACTTTCTGGCAGCTATACTTAAAATTTGCCAACAGTTATGCTAGCGGAATAATTTGACGTTTAACCAGTTACATAAAGCTAAAGATAGGACAAGGTACAGAGCTGTCTGTCAATTGCTTTATTTGTCTTTGTTCGAGGATACAAATAGAAATAGTACTGGCAATTTTCCATTAACAAATGCACGGTCAGCCGAGTTCTCGAATCGTATCATTATTTCACAGTCAGTGAGCACATGATTTCCAGTCGCAGTTGCGAGACATGCATTGTTTTTATTTTATTGTTAGTTAGAAAGCTTATTTTCTTTGATATTAAAATATTAACACTGAAAAACAAAAACAAACTTGCGCAGTCGGCTAAAGTATTAATCCAAATCAGGTGAAAGTTGTTGGAAGAAAAGACACGGGTAAATTACAAGATTAATACACGTAGAAAAGTCCTTCGCCACTTTCCCATCCGGCCCAACATTTGCATAAAATTAAGAATTTATTGGGCTGTGCTACATCTTATCAAAGAGGAGGTCACATCAGACAATGTTTGTCCCCACACCCCAAGAATCGCTCTCATATTTCACAAAATTATATTGGACTTCCAGTTGGCATAAATGCAAGAAGTGACAGGACACGACTGTGAAAACTTTTAATCGCATCACGCATTCATCTCAGCCATTATTAAAGACGAGGCGTGCAGGCTTCATTTTGATAATATATTTTGAGAAGGCGGAATTTAAAGATAACATAGGTCTTGCATGAAAATTATCAGCATTCTTGCTCATCGGAGAACCGTCCAGTACAAATGGTTACTTCGGTGCTGTGGTAGAGCTCGCATCTTGCCTTTCTTGCCCAGTGTAAATGTCATCAATCGCTCTGTGACCAAAATTTGACGATCGAGAAACGAGTTTGACTGTGAAATGACTTCGAGTGAAGCAGCGAGTCTCTTGGGAGTAATCGTACTTGTCTAGGTTAATGAATAGGGCCTAAAGATTGGAGACAACAGATTTTTTAAAATGGCGGACCACGAGTTGGAAGAATTGGATGAGGAAGACGACAATGTTTATGAGTTAATGATCGAGTTAAGGCGGAGCGAGCCAGGTAATTAAACCACACCATGTGTTTTGCTACTGAAGAAGAAAGTGTTCGTTCAAAATCTTGGCTTCTTGTTTCAGTAGCCTTGTGAATATTTTATGTACTCGACTTAGTATAGTGGTCGATTTAACACTTAAACTACCTTCCTTATCGGTCGAGAAGCTTTGCTTCGCTGAAGTTGACCAATATAACGACAGAAAGTGAAAGCGAATTCTTTAGAGTTTTTCCTCCATCA